AAAGCACCTTTCTAGCATTTTTCAACATAGCATATAGGTGCATAGTTTATTAGAGTCCCCAAATCCTGTTCATATAATGTTACCTCTAACTCAACCCTGTTTTCTAGGGCACTAAATATCCAAATACTTTTCACAGGGAGAAATTGCCTCTTCGTTTGTTGTTGGTTTTAAGAAGAAAATATAAAAATAATAAAGGGGTCATGAAAAATAAAAATGGGCTGCTTCACACTGAGACTTAGGGACTCTAAAAAAAATCATGAAATATAAAATAGAGTGTGAGCGCTCCTAAATAAACGTAATAAATGAATGAAATCAGTACAATCGGTTATAGATTTTAATAGAACAAAATGTAAAAAAAACACACAAACTGCTCCAAAGAATTTAAAACATAGTATGCAAAACACTGATACAAATCGCAACACTCAAGGTAGCAATGCCCGTTAAACAACTACATCCCAGAGTGTTACTTTGTAGAAAAAAAAAAAAAGCTATCAGAGTAGCATAGATATGTACACAATTAATAGTTACAAAGTGTGTGATCCTAGCTGCAAATCAGAAAATCTGACCAAGAAAAAAAAATAGAAAGGAGGTATATCAATAACACTATGAAACACTACATAATGTGTAAAAACATCCTTAAAAACAATGTATAAAACATTAAAAAAAACACAGCAATAAATGCATTAAAAACCCTGTGTGGATATAGATAAAAGAAATAATCCTGTAAAAGTACTTATCGGGGGGCGGGGTGGGGCTCTACGGTTCTGGACACAGTGAACACAGGAGATCAATGGATGATGCCCAGTAAGCTTAACCCCACATGATCTAGGTAAGATGCTCTCAGTTCACAGAAATGGTAAACTGTGCCAACAGTCAGACAAGTTAGGTGAGCACAACAAGCTGGGAGTGCGTGGAAAAAGCCGCAACCGGTAACTTCGAAAAAGGTCGCGTCTGAGTTAAAGGAGCAGCGTTGAGGTATAAAGACGTGGACCAGTACATCTACGCATTTCGTCGCATGAGTGAGACTTATTCAAGACAACGGTCCTCATCCACAAGTTAACTTTATATACCCCTTGACAGAGGGCAAATAGGAAAACTAGTCAATTAGACATATGAGAAAAAAAAAAACAACTAACATAACATATAAAATACATTTATTTAATTCAATAACGAAGTATAATTTCTAAACATTAAAAAAAACAATATAAATAATTATGCAAATAAAACATATCCTGTAGATACAACGCTGATATATGATACATAATAAGATACTGCTTTCATTACTGATAAATAGTTATAAAAAAGGGGGAGGAGTTGGAAAGACTAGGGCAAAAAAAAAAAAACATATTTGTGGTAAAGGCTAAAGATGAACATGGATGAAAATAACCAGATAATGAAGATGGATATAAACACAATATTAAGACCATATTTCAATACTATAGATAACCAATTCTTCATTAAGCCCATGAGGGCTTAAGGTATTTAATTTATATATCCCTTTTGATTCAGCGCCTATAAGGGCTCTCTTACATTTAGCGACGTATCAGTTCAATACCCATAACTGAGAGCTCAGGGGATTACTATTAAGTACAGATGAGAAATGTCTAGCCACCAAGGATTTCTTGTCTTTGTGTAAACCTTGTAGTTTGGCCAACGTATTGTAAGCAGCATTTGCAGGTAAAAAGGTGGACCACAAAAGAAGAATTACACGTAATCCTATCATTGATGGGAAATGAATTTCCTCTCATTGCTGGCCCAAAATGGGTGGTCTTATGGTACATAGAAATGCATGTGAGACATAGAAAATTCCGTGTTAGATGATCCTTTTTGGACTGGATAGTATCCTCAGGGCTATATTTCACTAAGTACTTTTACAGGATTATTTCAGTTATCTATATCCATACAGGGTTTTTAATGCATTTTTTGCTGTGGTGTTTTTTTCATGTTTTATACATCGTTTTTAAGGATGTTTTTATACATTTTGTAGTGTTATTGATATACCTCCTATCTATTTTTTATTCTCGGCCAGATTATCTGACTTGCAACTAGGATCACACACTTTGTAACTATTAATTGTGTACTTATCTATGCTACTCTACTCTGATAGCATTTTTTCTGCATAGTAACACTCTGGGTTGTACTTGTTTAAAGGGCATTGCAACCTTGAGTGTGGCGATTTGTATCAGTGTTGCATACTATGTTTTAAATTATTTGGAGCAGCTTGTGTGTTTTTTACTTTTTGTTCTATTAAATGTATATCTTGTACGGATTGTGCTGATTTCATTCATTTATTAAAAATTTATTTAAGCGCGTTCACACTTTTATATTTCTTGTTGGTTTCAAGATCCACTTTACTCTTAGGATATCACTAAATTCATAAAGTCATTCTTTGGAAGGGGAAACAAAAAAGTGTAACACGACTTAAAAGGACCTTACATACAAAGCTTTTTAGCTTGTGGAGTGCGTTTTGTATCGAGGCAAAGACCCAACTGCATCACAGTAGGTATTGCAGAACCAGAATTGAACCCACTTAGAGGAAGAGCAGTCAAAAAAAATAGCCATCTGTTCTGATTTTGTAAAAATCTCGGTGAAGTGAGTTGCAAAGTTTGAGGCGGACTGGGTGGTAGGAGGAGGGGGAGCAACAGAGCAAAGGAGAGCATTAAAAGTGTTAAATAGGCATTTTGATTGTCGGGACAGTGTGCTTATGAGGGTGTTGAAGTAATTTACTTTTGCAGAGGAAAGAGCCAGAGTGTAGGAGCGCAGCATCAATTTATAGTGGATGAAGTCAGGTGAACAGTGAGACTTTCTCCAATAGCGTTCAGCAGTTTTGGAACATTTTTGGATATATCGGGTCAGCTTGGCGTGCCAGTGTTGTATTTGGGAACGCTTGCTGTGTTTAAGTGTAGGAGGTGCCATGAGGTCTAGTAGAGAGGAAAGAGTGCAGTTGTAGAGTTAGGGCAAGTGAGATTTGAGATGGGTAAAAGGAGAGTTTGGTTTCTGCGAGATTGGAGAGTTGAGGGTGGTGAGATTTGGGTATGGGATATGCCTATGTCAAAGTTCAGCAGATGGTGGTCAGATAAAGGAAATGGAACAATGAAGAGATGAGAGGTGGTACAGAGATTGGTAAAGATGAGGTCTAGAGTGTTTCCTGCTGTATCAACTTGGAACTCACAAGGGCATAGCGTTTTCAGAATATTGTACAGCAAGTGACAGTAGTAGGCAAAAGCTCAAACAGTTGCCTCTTATTCTATGCATGGAGACTACTCTTTATTCACAAACTCCTATAGAGCAGGTTTTATGAGAAAAGCAGTTTGTGCTAGAGGAGAAGTGGAACTGCTCAATAAATTAGCAACAGCCATACTGCGGCTATTAGTGAGCAGCAACCAACAGAGTTGCCGACTGTGCATACCATGAATGCTCAGTCCAAGTAGGGCCAATGCTCTGTTTGCTTGATTGACAGCTCTAGTAGACTGGCTTTTAGTGTCAGTGATTTTTATCACTTTTTATAAGAGCTGAGAGACTGTTCTGGGTTAACCTTTGCGCCACAAACAAACAATCACGGAAAATTGTTATGGTGCGTAGACACACCCAATATTAACAAGATTGTCCCCAATTTCACAATAATTACCCATTTACAGTAGGCTTTCAACACACCACACCTCCTTGCAAATGGTTCTTCCCCAATGCTGCTCAACTCACTAGCAACAAGGAATATTTGTTAGCAGCATCAAGTACACACAGAGGTTTTGATTTTTAAATTTGAATTTTTTATTGATTTTTCATGAGAAAAAGTAAATTGGGGGTACAGAAGGAAAGAAAGGAGGGGATGACATGACCATCATGAATGTTATTGCATGGTTGTCACACTTCAAAGCAAAGATCAATTCCTTGGACAAGAGGTTACATGTTATGCAAGGTTATACCGTGTACAAGCTATGATTGTTTACACGCCTCATCTTATACATTGAAATTGTTAAATAATACAATAATGTTAACTAAGACAACAATCTATCATATCACCTTGGGTTACACTTCTGCGTAACTAATGCGCATTGTGAAGTCTTGTCTTATGTATCTCTGTATATCGGTACACTTCCCCCTGAGCTGTAAGTGAGATTTATGTGAGGTGTATCATGGTAAGGGTTCTAAGGCTTCCCCTTTCATATCTCACTTTTTTAGATGTGAGTTTGAGGCTCAGCTGTCGGATTCTAAGGTTTTGGGCATTTAGGGCAAGCCATGGTTTCCACATCTGTTTGATCCTTTTCGACTTCTCGAATCTGAAGAGAGCGTTTCATATCTATAATATTGGTATATCTTATCGAACAGCTCTTTGTTTGAGGGGCAGTAGGTAGATTTCCAGTGGATAGTTAGTAGGTTTCTTTCTGCCAGTATTACAATTGATACTTTTTTCGCTTCCATCTTCCACGCAGTTGGGAATATCATCAGGAGGCTCACCATTGGAGTGAGAGGTTGGGTGTTGGGTAATGCTGCCGTTATGATTGTTTGTACTGGTTTCCACAGAAGTCTAATCTTGCTGCATTCCCACCACAGATGAGTCATTGTTCCTGGTTGGGATCTGCATCTCCAACAGTTAGGATCTGCGTCAGGGTAAATCTGCTGTAGCCGTTGTGGGGTAAGGTATCATCGGTATATTATCTTTTTATGTGCTTCTACGTGCCTTTAAGTGCATTGAGTGCTTGGAGCTATTGTTTGTCTGTAAGTCCAGACAGACCTTCCTTTTCCCATTGGGCCACATATTTGAAAGAGCGGAGTGGTAGGGTGCTCAAGAGAGTTTTGTAGCATAATGATAAGGACTTAGTCTTAGTGGGGGCAGAGTGACACCTCTCGATAAGTGTCAATGCCGAGATTTCTTGTGGCTTTGGTGCCGGTGTCTGCATGGTTACCTTATCTTGTACAATGCTTTTCAACTGGAGATATTGAAAAATTAGAGGGAGATGGGGGGCGTGGCCGCTGAACAAGATGGCTGCATAAACCCAGTGCTCCTCTCTACTAAGCCCGTACACAACATTCTACTAACAGCACAAGCCTAGAAATGGGCTGCCACCGACGATCCAAGCACTTCCAGACACTGAGGGGGGCCCCCCGAGGTCCCATCAGGGCCCGATGGACGGCTTCATTCGGTCTCAGAGAGACCCGGAAGATGATGCGGAATGCCATGCTGTCCTCCCCGGCCTCGACAGCCGGCACAGAGATGTCGGCCTTAGACCGCATTGGAGAGGAATTGCGCACAATAGCGGCCTCCATGGCTACTAAAGGCGACATGCTCACACACAACACTGCCATTCAGGATGCCCTTCACGCGAAAATAGCGGGGATCCGGACGGATGTGGGCGCTCAAGCAGACTGCATTCAAACCCTGGAGGCAGCAATGGAAACACAGGCCGCCAGAAACGTCACGATGGAAGCAGCGCTCGCCAAGCAGGGGGAACTCCTTCTCACCATGCGGCGTTCTGTGGAAGACTTAGACAACAGGGGCCGTCGTTGTAATATTCAAGTCAAAGGGGTCCCGGAGACGGATGGAGAGGAAAACGCTGAGGAGCTTCTCTCGGGCCTTTTTCGCGCCATACTGCAACAAGAGGCGCCTCCCTGCTTTAAATTTGACAGAGCTCACAGAGCTATGCGGCCTCGAACGCTGGAAGAAGGCCCGAGAGATCTAATTTGCTGCCTCCACTCCTACCAATTGAAGGAGGCCATCATGAGGAAAGCTAGGGGGCGCCCCACGTGGCCCTATATGGGCACCCAAGTAGCTCTGTACCAGGATCTCTCCCCTCTGATGTTGGATGCGCGGAGGGCCCTCCTGCCCGTGACCACTCTGCTGCGAGACCGAGGCATTCAATATAAGTGGGGATTTCCATTTGCCCTCATGATACAATCCCAGGAGGGATGGACTGCTGCCTGCCACCCTGATGAAATTCCGGGCCTTTTGGAGGGACCACCCACACCGGTTCCTGATTGGATCAGGGACTCCATGAGCCAGAGACCCTGACCTCAGAGGATGCCCCGACGGCGGAGGGGGGAGGCCCCGCAGGGCTCCCCACCGCGAAGACGCCCAGACCGAGGAGGACTGGCAGCGTAGGTGAGCTTCCTAATCCGGTGCCCATCACCGCCTGTATCCCGATCGTTCCCACCACTGCCGCATAAGCCCCGAGCTCAACTTCACCACTGTGGGTAAGACTCAGTAGCTACCTGATCCGGAGGATCTCCCTTGCCCTCATCGCCATTGGACTGGGGGGCCACACGGAACAGTTTGGGAGGGGGGGAATGGGAGCTATGGTTGCATGTGTTGGGCACTAAGTGTGAGACCTCACCCGCGGGTATAGAGGGCGAGATGATTGGGACCAGTGGGGGGGGGGGAAGGTCGGACAGATCTTTCACTTTTGATGTGTGGGTTTACGCTGGCCCACACAGCCCCTGAGCGGACGATGAGGTACTCTGGACTGGCTCTGGCTATCCTCTCCACTCCCACCCCCCTTTTTTTTTCAATGAGGAGTTACTATTAGACCCGAAACTCAAGGAACAGATTACGCGGGAACTAGAACAATACTTCCAAAACAACGGAACAGCAGACATATCCCCGATCTCAGTCTGGGAATCCCACAAAAGCGTGATACAAGGTTCATTCATACATATTGCCTCCTAAAGGAAGAAGGATACACAGAAGGAAATGGCGGATATTTACCAAAGAATCGCCACATTGGAAGCTCAACACAAAAGGTCTCAGCTTTTGGCGACGTATGGAGACCTGATGCAAGCGAGAATGCAACTCAAAGACCTTCTAACGAAGCGATACCTGCGTTCTCTCCAACGATCCAGGGGCTTCTTCTATATGCATGCCAATAAAAGTGGACGATACTTAGCGAAACTGCTGAAAAGGAACTCTCCCCGAGTCCAGGTTAGACAATTGCACTTATCCACGGGTAATACAACTAGACATTCCACTGCAATCGCCGAGGAATTCAGAACTTACTATGACAGCCCGATTACGGAGGAGGAACTGGCGGCGGCGCTTAAATCTACCAAGACGGGAAAAGCTCCGGGACCGGATGGTTTCCCCGCGACCTATTATAAATCCTTTCTTGCAATACTACTACAGTGGCTGTCCAAATCCATCAATGCAGTCGCAGAAGGGGGGACTCTGGGGGCCGAATCTTTGGCGGCGACTATCACAGTCATCCCAAAACCGGGCAAAGACCCGATGTACTGCGGAAACTATCGTCCCATTTCCCTTTTAAATGTGGACACCAAGCTATTCACAAAAGTCCTGGCCACCAGGCTCCAAGCGCCTCTCCCGGGCCTGATACATAAGGACCAAACCAGTTTTATACCAGGACGCGAGGCAAGGGATAGTACAATGCGTGTGTTTGCAATCCAACACTTGGCGAAGAAAACGCAACAATGCCTCCTCCTTCTTTCTACTGATGCCGAGAAGGCATTTGATCGGGTACAATGGCCTTTCATGATAGCCACATTGAGGGAGATGGGCCTGGGGCAAACATTCCTTGCATGGGTTCGAGCCCTCTATCGCGAGCCTCGGGCAGCGGTCAGGGTCAATGGAGCACTTATGGAGGACTTTCAGATTGCGAATGGCATGCGCCAGGGGTGCCCCTTGTCCCCCTTGCTCTTTGCCATGACCCTTGAGCCCCTCTTACAAATAGTCCGACAAAATCGAGATGTTACCAGGTTTTCCTGGCGGGGGCAGACACATAAGGTAGCCGCTTACGCGGATGATCTCCTCTTTTTCATTAGCAGTCCCAGAACTGCGTTACCATGTCTACTGGCGGAGTTTGAGAAATTTGGTAGGTTATCAGGTTTCAAACTCAATTTATCCAAATGTGAGACACTAAATAGAACGCTCCCGGAACATGACTAACACTCTAGGGACGGCCTTTCCCTTTACATGGTGTCGCTCCAAGATGAAATATCTTGGCATATGGATCGCGTCAAACCCGAAGGACCTCTACTCCTATAACTATACACCTCTCCTTAATACGTTAACGGACATGTCAAAATGGACCTACCCACATATCTCATGGCAGGGGCGGGTAGCTGTTCTTAAAATGAATATCCTTCCTATGCTCCTTTATCCCTTTCAGGCACTGCCGGTTGCCTTGCCAACCTCCTTTTTTACTTAATTGAAATCGGCGACTTCGGTATGTGTGGCGCGGAGAACGCTCAAGGCTTAAATACGACACATGATGCTTACGCAAACATTGTGGAGGGCTAGCTCTCCCAGATTTTAAAAAATACTACCAAGCCACAGTACTGCAACGAGTACTTGAATGGCACACGAACCCTGAACACAAACAATGGATAGCCTTGAATGCCGAAGGAAATGACGCAGCCCTACAGGCGGCTGTCTGGGACACCAGGGCACAGACTCTAGGACAGATACGAGAGGACACGGGGCCGGTGATCCAGACATTGCACAGTTGGAGCTTAATCAGAGAGCAAAAACACATATCTCCGACCCCGAGCCCTCTGCTTCCGATTACTTATAATCGAAGGTTGGGGGGGGGGGTACTACCAGCTGGGGCATGGCCCTTCTCGGAGGATAACGGATATACTCCTATACACACACTGCCTTTCAGGATGGAGGGCTGCGATCCTTGGACTCATTATTGAATGGGAGACCTCGCACTATGCTGGCGATACTTCGAGACTTGCAATTGAAACATTTTTACGACACACTCTGTAATAGAGAACGAGTGCACCGAGACCTCACATGGTTTGAGGAATGCTGCACGACGGGGACGGCGAATGGCAGAATGATTTCCATATTATACCAGCACATCTTAACGGGACATTTGAGTGAACATGATCTATTCCGAAGACGGTGGGAATCGTTATTAACGAAACAATTCACGCCACAACAGTGGGACAAGGCTCTACTTTGGCATCATAAGAGTTCTATTAGCACAGGTTACCAAGAAACAAATTATAAGCTATTAACAAACTGGTATAGAACCACACAGAATATTCCCAACGATATCTTCAATGTGCTGGAGATGCCTAATGGAGCAGGGCACTATGATACATATATGTTGGGACTGTAGCAAAATTTTCTGTTATTGGGACATGGTTGGATCTACCATACGGGACTTCTTGGGGGATGTGACCGAATGGACAGTCGAACTAGCCTTGCTGCACATATCACCAATGTCGATTTCCCAATACAAGCACTCGATCTTGCGGCACCTTCTAAATGCAGCCAAAGCGCTTATTCCAGTATACTGGAGAACTCAGGTCACGCCGCACAAGGAAGAATGGTTGCGTAGGGTGGAGGAGATACAGGGGGCGGAGGCGATACATGCATCTCTCACAGGTGGGGCGGCCATACATGTGGAGACCTGGATGCCGTGGTTCGGATATATCTCGGGGTGACGGGGGGGGATTGTGCTGGGGATACACCCCCCTCAGTCACTCTTTTCATCTCTCCCTCTCTACCATTTCTGACCGACTTAGACATAAACCATATCTTATCATCATACATGGATATCATGCCTACTTTATAAATGTAGACATACAACACCATACAGGTACCATGCGAGGTACCAGGCACACTTTCACAGTAATCACACAAGACCGATGCCGGTACGCTGCATCGTGACCCCTGACGGGAACCTAGGTTAGGAGACAGGGACTAGAGGACCCATGGAGCGCAAATATAAGCTTATCTTGAAATTGTTTGTACCTGACAATACTTGATGTTCAGCCGTGAACAACACAAAACTCTCAATAAAAAGATTTGGAAAAAAATAAAATAAAAATTAGAGAGATGGGTAACTTATTTTTCTTGTAATTCCGGGAAGGCCAAGATCTTGAACTGAGAGAATATGTCTCTAATGCGGGTGATACCATGAGCTGTCCAAGGTTTTAACGATAACCACGGCGAGATTCCTTCTATGGCCCTCAAGGGGGCATGTGCACAATATTTTCCTTTGTCTGTTCTAATAGCTAGCAACCTGTCCCATATTTTTAACGTGAGCAGCATGGAAGGATATAACGACAGCCCCTGTGTTCGAAACATTTTCAGTGTCCACATTGTGTTCACCAGGGAGTGTGTAGGAGCTTTGTCCATATCGACCCATTGGAACGTGTAGACTTATTGCAGATTCAAGAACGGCTGCATCATAGTATGTGATTATCTTCAGGAGGACTAAGCCCCCTTCTGACTGAGTGAGTTGGAATCGAGATTTTGTGCCCCCATAAATATCTATTTAAGGAAGTTTGGATCGCTTTTATAAATTAAAAAAAAAATAAAAATCTGTGTGGGCAACAGTCTAAAGATATACAAGATTTTGGGTAACCATTTTCATTGTGTGGAGTCTGTCTAACCATGACAGTCGAACCTGTCTCCATTTCTACACAGGTTTATTTTAACTATTTTCTGCAAAGGGAAGCACTTTGTAAAGTGCAATCAAGCCTCATGTTCTTACAACAAATGTAAATACTGTCTGGAAACAGAAAATTTATTTAAATTCTGCAAATTGTATAAACCCTTTTCTGTAATAAAGGCAGAATACACAGCATACCTGGACATATTAGGCCAGTGAGATACCATTGGGTCGCAGGTTCAAATCAACCCTTCATCCTTATGATTTAGATAAAAGGAGTACTGGATGCTGGGCTAAGGACGTACTTGAAAACCAGAGTAATGCGAATGTACCTTTCCTGGTTATTATAATTATATATAAAAAAGGTATCTTAAAAAGCATTTGATTAGTCCTGTGATTGGACTGACCTCTTAAAAAGACACTCCATGGTAAGCATTAATGACATTCACATACATACACCTCATCAATATGAAGCCGAGTATTTAAATTGAAAGGTGCTTGGTCTCATGCTGCACGTAAGGACTATAGATATTTGAAAAAGCACCTCAGTCTGAAAGCCACTAGATTAACTTATCTATTTTTCACTTTAGCGTAACCAACTTATTTGCTTTTAAATGTGAAAATTTTAAATAAATATGGTAAAGCATTACTAATCACGTTCCCATCCCTATAGTGACACCATCATGACGCTTTATGGTGTTGAAGAAAACAGGACCACCATTCCTACATACCATACCTTCATACCGGATTTGGTCCTACTTGGGACCACTTCCCACCTGGCTGCCAGCTTGACCCTACCGGGTTGTTCCTTCATGTGCTGAATTCTTATAGTTTAGGACAAGGGGATCTCCTGTTAACCACTAAAGCAAGCTCAAGTCTGGAGTGTCTTTAACCAAACAAACACAAATATAAGTACCATCTGAAAACATATCAAGAATTTTACTTTGAAAATAAAAATAAAAAACATCCCCCTTGAATTATTTAACCGACTTGAATTCAATTGAGCTCCTTGTCTTGTTTTTAAGCAGTCTGCACAGGGCTGCTCTCCAATGGGAGGGAAGATTGTTTTCTGTTTATTTTTAATTTATTAGTGGTGTACTTAAACAAGCATATGGAAAGCTAGTTTAATATCATGTCTGCTGTGAGTGAGTGTGTGTGTGTGTGTGTACCTTCATCACGTTGATAAAAGTCATAAAATGAAAGAATATATTCATAGAGAAAAGTATAATTGTATTAAAGCATGTAATTTTATTATAAAATAAATCCAAAAATGTATAAATACAAAATCATTAAAGCATACATCATTCCCTCCCACCCCACAAGTAAAATGCACAAAACACTTGAAAAAAAAAAAACCCCACCACATTTCAGAATTTTTAGACATTAAGGCAAAGGGGATACATTAAAGACCCTTAAGTGTGGCAAAACAGGACTTTTTTTAATGGAAAAGTCCTAGTATTATAGGTGATTAAAAATATGACAATTAAAATTTATTTGGCATATGCCCATACACAGAGGGTTAGGTGGTTGTATGATAAATCAGCATTTAGGAACCATTAAAAAGGCACTTGCAGCTGTGTCCCAGTTACTGGCTTGCAGTACTGCATCCTGGTAGCAAAAGGCAGATGCCAAACACAATGGGACAGGCTGGGTTTAGCAGTGAAGAGTATGTCACTGAATTAGACAAACAATTGAATAGAGCAGATTAATTTACATACATCGCCTTCCATTTTTTTTTTTTTTTTTTTAAACTCACAAAGGAGATTATTACAAAGCAATCTGTTCACACACGATAAAATTTGTATCATGTAAAATCTTTTTTTATTGGACACAATTTTTTAGTGCCAAGCTTTCGGGAGAACCTCCCTTTCTCAAGTCTGAAGCGTTTCTGAGCAAGACGACACAGAATTCAAAGTGGAGTTGTGATACAAGGGTTAAAGCGACATGCACAGACACTATTAAACACCACAAAGAAAGATCGTACTGCACTCCTGTGGGACACTTTATCAATATACAAAGTACTATATGTAGACCTATGCTTTCCCATACATAAAGTTGGGTTTTTTTTGATTTGTGTATGAGTTCATGTGCATGTATGTTATGTGTTTATGTATATGTATTTATGCGTTTGCATATACATATTTATGTGTGCGCACGCGCATGTATAAAGTGTACCATCCTCTGCACGGTCTGCTTGTTTTTTCTCTCCCCACTCACTCTGCTCTTCAGAAAGATATCTACAACCCTCTGCGAGAATGGTGTCTATTTTCTAACAAACCTGTGTGTTATCTGCACTCATGTCGCGTTAACCCCGTATCACAACTCAACTTTGAATTCTATGTGTCATCTTGCTCAGAAATGCTTCAGACTTGAGAAAGGGAGGTTCTCCCAAAAGCTTGTCATTAAAAAGTCTGTTAGTCCAACAAAAAAAGGTATTACAAGATACGAGTTTTATCTGTTTTTTTTTTTTTACGATCGATAGATAGAGTGCATACCAATAAGCAGTACAAGCAATATGGAACAGCTGTTTTTCTAAAGTTGCAATGCTCAGACCTGGCGGTATTCTCATAGTTTACAGTAAATAAACTAATAAGGGACACAGAAGGCACAGAACACAGGTTGTGCGTAAAGACTTTGCTTACATATGGTAGGTCTGTTTCCAGGATAGATATTAAATTGGTTCTTTCAATAAGTGTTGCAGGAGGAAAAAATGAAAACACTGCAGCATTTTATCAGACAATTGAGGAAGGCTTTGCCATATTGTGCCATCTTCCCATTTACAGATATGGCACATAACATATGGGGTAAAGTGCTTTAGACAAATATAAAGCATAATAAAAAATAAAAACTCACATTGAAAACTGGCCTTATTTATTCTCTCATGTACACATTTAGCTTTTGTCTTTATACAATTTAACCAGACAGGACCTGCCAGATTGCAGTGCATAGTTGTGACAGGATTGGCTTTCATTGGATTTGTGAAATCACTCTTGATTGAGGAAAGATGGTCAGGTTGTGGTCAGTAGCTCCAGAAGTGCACCCACTGCTCCAAAATATCCCTTTAATAAGAGATAAGACATCAAATCAGAGCTGGATTACTATTAGTGTGGCAAACTTCCTGCTGGCAATGATGACAATATTATGTTGGTGCCCCAATTTATATTTACAGGGATACTATAGGCATTAAAATATTTAGATTGATTCAATTCATCTCTATGAGGAGATGCTGATTGGCCAGGGCTGTGTTTGACTTGAGCTGGCTCTGCCCCTGATCTGCCTTCTTGACAGTCTCAGCCAATCATATGGCGAAGCATTGTAATTGGCCCAAACCACTACTGCTTATAATGTAAGCAGGCA